GGGAGGAAGGGAGTGAGGGTGGGAGGAAGGGAGGGACAGAGGCACGGGTCTGTGCGTACCTGCACAGCGACATGGGGAAACGTGGAGGAAGATGGCAAGGAACACGCAGAGAAAGTCAACGTCTTGGCGTCCGTCTCCCTACCCGCTTGGGGCGGAGGAGGAGGAAGGAGGTCGGCGGGCGCAGGAGGAAGGGGAGGAGGGAGGGAGGGAGGGAGGGAGGGAGGGAGGGCCGAACCACCCGACTCTGGGCCGAGAGGAGGCGAGGAGGACGCTGTGACATTCTCGGAGGTAGAAGAAGGGGAAGGTTTTTGGGCAACTGGAACGATGTCGCTTGCCACGGGCACAGAGGGGGAAGGAAGAGGGGGGAAAGGAGAGGAGGAGGGCGGGGGGGAGGGAAGAGGCAAAGTGGGGACCGAGGGCGAGGTGGAGATGGGGGGCGGTAAGGAGGACGGCACCCAGCTGGCAGCTACGCAGGCGAGTGGAGAAAGCGCTGCATCCTCCGCAACGGCGGGCGAGGGCGAGGGAGGGGCAACGGGAGGAGCCGAGATGGCCCCTGCCTGGTTCTCAGGTTCGATCCCCGCTTCGGTCTCTACCACGGGGGTGAAGGAAGGGTGGGGCAACTGTTCGGCGCACATGGGTCGAAGGAGGGGCGAGCGAGGAGGGGAGGAGGATGATGTGCCGGTTGCGATGCCAGCGCCCGTGACCATTGCGGTCGTTGTTGCTGTTGTTGTTGTTGTTGTTGTTGTTGTCACAACTGTTGACTTCTCGGCAGCTGGCTTAGGAGCTTTTTTGTGTCCTTTACTAGTCTTGGTCTTCTTTTTCCCCATACTTTTGATTTTTAATGGTAAGCACTTCCCGGATGCGCCTGTCAAATGCATGAGGAAAGGTCATGATGCTGGCACGGAATGTCAGAGAGAGATACAAGCCAAACCAAAGTAGAAATATTTTACACGACAATGACCTTTGGGCCGTACCCACAGTCTATAGGCACGTTTGTACGTCTCAAGATTAAAAAAAGTAGCTAGATTCAAGCCTTATCATGCAAAGAATAAGAAGTAGAAATCTCATCCTTCTAAGGTGATGGGGTGATGTATCCGGTCCCTCGCAAGGCATATCTCTATAAACAACCCGCGAGACTCGTTTCTCTTTGCCTGTCCCACGAAGTCATGCCCATTCTTTTATGAAGTCTGAGAATGCGTTAGAATATGCTCACGCTTCGAAATGTCGATTGGCTATGAGCCTGGGAATATGCGCCAGGCCTCTTGTCTTAACAGCCAAAAATTCAAATTGCTCGTTGATAAGCTTCTTGGTTGTTGGCACGACCGCGTGTATATCTCAAAGTTCTATCAGTGCGAGGACCACGAGGCACGTCTTGATACACACTATATTGCACGGTACAATGCATCGTGTGCTCGTGGTTGATCTGGTGGTCCGGTGGTTCGTGGTTTTGTCTTTTTAGGTTTTTGAAACGCCTTGGGTTATGTTAACGGCTGGCATTGGCGATGCGGGCAATTGCCACGGTCGAAAACCTTGCCCACGCACGATCACTCACGCACACGTCCATGAAAATGACACAGGATCGTCAAGCAGCACTATTTGAGGCTCTTCGTAACCTGAGGTCAAAGACGGCGCCCTTCTACTTCCTTTCACGGCACGTGCCCGCTCGTGCCTCCGACAAACCGACTTGACCTGGTTACCGTGGACAAGGGCCTGTCTAAACACGATCGAATTTCGAATTGATAACACGCAGTTACTCCTGCCTTCTGAACGCACCTTTGTAGGACGTCGTGTCATCGACATAGTCAGGTAACTCGCCATCCTGCTGGACACCCTCGCTGCACAGGATATCATGGAAGTGAAAACCATTGAGCGCCAGTCTCTCTTTGACTGGAAGGTAAGTACCGCTGTAGGCAGACAGAAACCAGGGGCAAGGAAAGGGGCAACTAATTCAGAAAGTAGACGTAGACTGGACAATCCAAACAAGCGAATCAACACGGAAGCTTTTGCTGTGTACAACTTCGCACGTCTCATATTCTGTTCTGTCCATAGGACCTTCTCGACACGTATAAGCGGCAGGAGGACAAGCTTCCTACGGCAGTGCTCACCGCTCTCACTGGTGAGATATGGGGCAGGAGAGATAGCGGGTGCAGAGAGGACGGAAAAGCAACGAACAGGGAAGGGAAAAAGGAAGCGAGAAACGAAAAAAAGGGAGGAGGGGAAGAGAAAGAGGTAGTGAAAGAATGCAGAAAAGCATCTGACTTTTTAATACGCACCGTCCTTTTTTTGCACCGCCCCTTTGCTCTCTCCTCTCTCCTCTGGCTCGTGTCCACAGAATTCACTCGGGCGCCGCGCATCATCTCCATCCCCTCCCCGGCCATCTACGGCGCAGGGGACGCTCCGGAGGCCGCCGCGGAGAAGTTCCTGTCCACCTCCAGGTAGGGAGGGAGGGAGGGAGGGAGGGAAGAGATGCACAAGGCTCATAGGTGTCTATTTCTTTCTCTTTCTCTCTACGCCCCGCCCACAGGGAAGTCGCCGAAGCCCCGCTTCCTACCTTTCCGAACGATGATTTGGGTCGTCTCCCCTCCTTCCCTTCCTCCCCCCCTTCCTCCCTCGGTCCCTCCCCTCCCGCACACCCTACCGGGGCGGGAGAAGGGGGGGAGCATGAGGAGGAGGAGGAAGAGGAAGATTTAGGTGCGTCGCAAGGGGAGAAGTAAAAGACGGGTTGCTCTTCCACAGACATCTGCTCCCCGTCTTTTCTCACGGCCTTCCTCCCTCCCTTCCTCTTTCCCTCCCTCCACGCCTTCTTGCTCCTTATCCGCAGACGCCGTGCGTCGAATCCGCCCTCAGCTCCTGCAACAATACCATCCCACCTTCATCGCGCCCGACCGTGAGGTACCTCCTTCCCTCCCTCCCTCC